ATAGAGAAGATAAAGTGAACGGCTTATTTTTTTCTTTCTTGTAATGTGAAAACGAGGAGGCAGCAAGAGAAACTGAAAGAAAAAAAAAAAATATTGACCTATAGATAATTTGTACCCAAGTCCTCAAACCAGGCCTAAAGTTTGTAACAAGTGTATAGTTCTGTTGAAAATTGTTGTGTGCATCATATCAAGCACACACTGAAAAAACTGTAGAACCATGAAATATCATTTGAGACTGTAAAGACTGTAGGGTTAAAATAAAGATGATACAAGAACTTTGCCACAGTCAAGGAGAATATCCATGGTTAAATGAAATATACTCAGAAGGCAGAAGTCCTTAAAAGTTTCTGGCATAAGTCAAACAGTAGTTTTATGGGATTTTGAAAGAATCAGTCTCTATCAGCAGGTTGTGGTTTGTTGCGGTGTAATTCAGAGACATCCAAATCTGGCAGCAGCTGGGCTCAGAGTGGGACTTGAGAGGAAACCTGTCAGCTGCCCTCTTGTCTCCTCCTGCCTGTGGTTCTTGCAGCAACAGCCTACTTGAGTCTAAAGGGGACATCTGATGGTTTAGGTAGCACTAGCACAGTGTAAGAGCCGTTCCCTGCCCCATGGAGGGAGAAGACAGTTTTTTGGACTGTAACATTGCGTGACCTGGATCTCCCCTGTGGCTTTTTGTGTAGCTCTACAGGGTTTCGTGTTTCTCATTCTGCAGCAAGTAGTTGCTGCCTTGACTTTTCCCTCTGAATAGCATAGAATCACAATTCTTGGCTCTTTTAGCTGCTCTCAAATGAGAAAACAAAGGATAGTTTTTTCCTTTAAAGGGATTTTAATTCTTAGCTTCTATTTCTAGTAGTGTTTGAATTTAAAAATAAAAATTATTATTTTTTAGAATTAAAATCAAATAAAGTCTTAGGGACCACTTAGCCAAACTTAACACCCACAAATCTATGGGCCCTGATGGGATGCACCCTTAAGTGCTGAGGGAGCTGGCAGATGTTATTGCAGAACCACTCTCCATCCCTGGGAAGGTGATGGAACAGTTTATTCTGGAGGCCATCTCTAAGCATGTAGAGGAAAAGAAGGTTATAGGTTATCGTGAATAGTCAACATGGATTCACTAAAGGGAAATCATGTTTGACCAATCTGATAGCCTTCTATAATGACATGACTGGCTGGGTGGATGAGGGGAGAGCAGTGAATGTTGTCTACTTTGACTTCAGCAAGGCTTTTGACACTATGTCCCACAGCATCCTCATAGGTAAGCTTCAGAAGTGTGGGTTAGATGAGGGGACAGTGAGGTGGGTGAAGAACTGGCTCGATGGCAGAACTCAGAGGGTTTTAATCAGTGGTGCAGACTCTCGTTGGAGGCCTGTGGTTAGTGGTGTTCCCCAAGGGTCAGTACTTGGTCCAGTCCCATTCAATATATTCATCAGTGGCTTGGCTGAAGGGACTGAGTGTAGCAGGTTTGCTGATGACACTAAACTGGGAGGAATGGCTGATACACCAGAAGGCTGTGCTGTCATTCAGTGAGATCTGAACAGGCTGGAGAGCTGGGCACAGAGGAACATGATGAAGTTCAATAAGGGCAGGTGTAGGGTCCTGCACCTGGGGAGGAATAACCCCAGGCACCAGGACAGGTTGGGCGCTGACCTGCTGGAAAGCAGCCCTGCAGAGAAGGACCTGGGAGTCCTAGTGGAGGGACAGTTGACCATGAGCCAACAATGTGCGGTTGTGGCCAAAAAGGCCAATGGTGTCCTGGGGTGCGTTAAGGAGAGTGTGACCAGCCAGTCAAGGGAGGTGATCCTCCTCCCCTACTCTGCCCTGGTGAGGTCACATCTGGAGTATTGTGTCCAGTTCTAGGCTTCCCGGATCAAGACAGATGGGGATCTTCTGAAGATTCAGTGGAGGGCCACAAAGATGATTAAGGGGCTGGAGCATCTTTCTTATGAGGAAAGACTCAAAGAGCTGGGTCTGTTTAGCCTAGACAAGGGAAGACTGAGATGGGACCTTATTAAGGTTTATAAATACCTAGTCAAGAGGATGGGACCAGACTCTTTTCAGTGGTGGCCAGCAATAGGACAAGGGGCAATGGGCACAAGCTGGAACACAGGAGGTTCCACTTAAGCATGAGGAAAAATTTCTTTACTGTGAGGGTGCCAGAGCACTGGGACAGGCTGCCCAGAGAGGTTGTGGAGTCTCCTTCTCTGGAGATGTTCAAAACCCACCTGGATACAGTTCTGTGCAACTTGCTTCAGGTGAACCTGCTTTGGCAGGGGGGTTGGACTAGATGATCTCCAGAGTTCCCTTCCAATCCCTGCCATTCTGTGATTCTGGGATTCTTGTGGTGGGATGGGACCCAGGACATTGGGAGCTAAATAATGGGCTTGATGTTAGGGGTTTTTTTGTTTTGTTTTGTTTTGTTTTTTTAGATCTAAAACTCTTCCATTCAAAACTCTAAATATTTGGGTTTGAATTCTGTCATTCCTTGATTGCAAGTTATAAATGTACTTTATGAAAAATCCACTGGTGGCGCTGCTGTTGTCTTTGGGCAGGAGAAAAATCAAAATCAGATGAATCAGTTTCTCCTATTCTCATCCATTCTCAAAAGGTACTGCAGGGGTGGTATGTCATGCTCCTGGGAAGGGAAGGTGGGCTCTCACACACTTTGCCACCTGACTGCAGCAGTGACAGCCTTCAGAAGGCATCGTATTGATGATTGTGATAAGGGTCCTCTAGAAGAACTGGTTAAATATGTAGGCAGGGAAATGTTGATTGAAGGGGATCCTGGAGAGAAACCCTGGCACACAGGATCTCAGTGGGTGTAAGAGATAAAGTTGCCATGGTGAGAGTGCTTGCTACCATTAGTACATCTTGGTGTTCTTCATGAAGAAGAGTGCTTACATACTGCTGTGCTCACAGACCATCCTGTTTCCAGTAGTGCAGGCAGGCAATCTGGTTGGTATTTCTGCTGTAACCAGTTAATATTTAGAATTTATTGTGCTGCTATTCTTCTGCAAGGTTGTTGCTTTAAAACTGTCTTAGGTTAGCATTAGCTTCTAATTCTTTTGTTGTCAGATGCAATTTTAAGATTCCAGAATTACTTTGTCTGTAAATGTCATATTTATACGATATTGAGAACGTCATTCTGTAAAGAGGCTGGCCAAGAGAAATTATCTCTTGCTGTTTGTTTAGTACCTAATCTCCAGAGCCCTTGATGAACTACTGAATGAAAAGTTATACAGCACTAATGAAATGTATCTTCACTGAATGCAAAAAGGGCTATAAGAGGGATGTCTCCCAGCTTCACATTTTAGCAGACCTGAATTCAGGTCCTGTCTATGTAAAGCTTGGATTGCTGGATATGAGCTTGTGGCTGAATTCCTCTTACTATACAGCAAATTAATTAGACCAAATCTATACATCCGTGGGAAACTCCAGCCTGAATTTTGACAGAGCTGTGTTTGGGAGATGCTACTATTACCCTAGAGCTCTGCAGCATCTGCACCAGGACTCTCAAGATCTACATCTCAGCTCTGCAGGAAACTGGAAAGTGCTGAAAACCTTAGCTAAGGCTAGGTTTTCCAGTCTCCCTCGTGTAAAGCTGAGCTTTGATTAGAGCTGGAGCTCTCAGGGCTTTTGGATTCCCAGGCTACAGCAGTGAGTCTTGGATCTCTGGCACAGCTGGCTGCTTCTGAGCCAAGCCCAAGGAGCAGGGGGTAGAGTGCCGCTTAGTAGGGTAGAGGAATCATGCCTCATTTGCCAAGAGTTCATCGAACCTCTCCATGTTTCAGGTGAAATATTTTGTATTCAACAAATTGCCATTTTCCAACAAAAATCTGTCTCACTGAAATGTTTCCAACCAACTTGAGTCACAAGTGAAAATGAATGTGTGGAGCTCAGTCTGGTGACAGTTTGTCCTGGTCACATGTTCATCAATTAGTAAGGAAAAAAATGTATGCATTTGCCAGTCTTTCTGCAGGGAGTAGCCTGGAGTGCTACTGTCAGGATTTAAAATTCATTTGTGAAGCTATAGGGGGAAAAAACTTTTCAGTATACCTGCCACTATTATGCTGGGCCAATTATTCCTTCCCTTTCAGGGGTACTGTGTTAAACGAGAAATTGCGAAAGTATATGTATGTAGTTTATATTAATGAGTGTGTCTGTTCAAATAATGTGGAAACAATTACATAGGGATGGATGGATAGAGTTCTCTCTAAAAGGTAATCAGGATCAGGCCTGAGGATACTAGACATTTTAGTCATACTGGAGCATGCAATCTCTATGAGAAAGAGCCTGCAGTCAAAATACGAAGACAGTAAGATTAACTGGGTTCATGAATTGACTGATAAAATAGAATAAATGGTGAGCACCATCTCTCATGTTTGTATTTTATCATAACAGAGCTGTTTATTTTCTGGTAGAATTAATTTCCAACAAACTCTTTCAATAGTGCCTTGGTATTGCCAAGTGCTGTGTTTTTACTCTAATGATACATGAATCGATGATGGACGTTGCTATGCAGGTCGGTGTTTTGCTGGGTTATTCTGAACAACTGTTATTTATGAGTTTGCACAGAATGATCATGCTTAGCAGAACACGTAATAAATATGAGGGGTTTTGTTCTTTTTTTTTTTTTTTTTAATCAAAAAGCTACTAGTATATAGCTTGGAAGTCTCTTTATGCACTGACAGGTCATCAGGATCCAGTTGTAATGACTATTTGATCCAAAGCAGACTTCATCATTTCCATGCTGCAGAAACAGATGTTCCTGACTTTTTTTTTTAGTTGAGTCTAATGTTTATGTTCTTTGACTTATGTGTGAAAGAATCCTACTGTTCTTAGTCCCAGACCTCTTTCCAAGTGCTCAGAATGAAGAGTTCACCCATTAGTTAACTTTTATTTTTTTAAAAATGGTGTGAGAAGTGTAGAGTTGAGATTTCTGTAATGCTAGTAAACTGTTTTGCTTAATACGCACTTTTATCTTTCACCTCTTGAACCAGGTTCATCAGCACCAAGACAGGGGTGAGACCTTTCAATGCCAGCTATGCCCTTTCACCTCCTCCCGCCACTTCAGCCTGAAACTCCATATGCGTTGCCATCAACATTTCCTCAGGACAGAATCCAAAGTAAAGGAGGAAATACCAGAAACTGAGGTGAAGGGGTCACCACAGCTAAATAGTGACTCCTGCCCGGGACCACAGAGGGAAGGAGGTGGACCTGATCTTACGGGATCACCATCTGTGTCTAAAACACCTGATGTGGCTGGGCAGCCTAGTGTCAGTATTCCACCTTTGCTAGTGAAAGAAGAGCCCAAAGATGACAATGACATCTCCTCTGCACCTTTTGCTCTTAACACTGTTGACAGAGCCCCTAACAACACAAAGCTGAAAGACTCCTCTGACTTTGTGGCCAATACAGCATCAGCACTATTCAGCCAAGACATCTCTGTCAAGATGGCATCGGATTTTCTTATGAAGCTGTCAGGTAATTGAGCAGCAAGTGGCAGCATCAGCTGCTCCTTTATGGGCTAAGAAACACTTTGCCTTGGGTTTGCTAAGTAATGGAATTGCAGGGAGAAAAACATTGCAACTTCTTAACTTATAATTTTTTGTTCCTTTTCATAAGGAGAGGTGCATGATGGAAGAAAGAGGGGAAATGGTGAGAGAGGGATTTTGCTGTTCAATTGCTGGGATTGAGCATGAGAACTTTTTATCCAGGCTTTCATGTTCATTGACAATTACCTTGGCAAATCTCATTTGGTGTGTTTTTCAGGTATGCTGAATACCTGCGGTTCTGGTTTGAAATCACTGAGGATCCAGCGTATTAGAAAATTCAGCTCTTAAGTTCCCTGCCTTTACCCTCTGTTAAATATGACCAATAAAGTGTTGGTCACCTTCCTTTCAGTGTAATATTTGAGGTCTAGCTAGTGACTACATGTGAAGTAATAATGTTACTGCACTTCTTGATTATTAACACTTAAGAAAAGGTAGTCCTAGAGATTCATGAACAGCTTTTGAATTTTTTTACTATTTTAATTGAAATCCATATCTAATGCAAAGCATGTGTTTATTGTATTTTCTTTCACTGTCAGATTATTGCTGTAAGAATGATATTCATATATGAGTCTCTGAAGTGGAGGATGTGTTTAGGGTAAATCTCTTATATTTCATGTACTCTTTTATTGAGTTGATTGAACACTTCTGAACTGTGAATATGCTGGGGGGATGTTCTATACTAAATGTTTTCAAAATTGGCCTTTAATTTTTAAAGAGAACTAAGTCAGAAAAATGTCACTGAAGAAACTTGTGTTTCACAAGGAGATAACAGTCCCTATGGCAAGTTTTAGACTTTGGAGATAGAAGATACCCTTTTCAATAGAGAATAATTGGTCACCATTTTCCTTTAAATTGAATGTAAGTTACATTTTAGCAAATTTTATTGTAAATTGTATTGTTTATTGTAAATAAAATTTAGCAAATTTTATTTTAAACTAAGGAATTACCTCTATCCTAATGCCCTTGCCTTAGTTAAACCACAGCCATTTATTTTGGAAAGGCTTGCTGTCCTCATCTGTCCAGACCTTAATACCTTTGGGATTGCAGTTCTGTGGGGATTCGAGTAGAATGGGTAAACACAAGAAATCAAGCCTTAGGCTTCGTGAAGCCAACCAGGAAAACAGAAAAGAGCTGAGGACAAGCAGGAGGTGAAATGGGCTAGAAAAAATGGTTTGCTGTGTGGACTGGCAGAAGCCACAGGAACCTGCCTTTAAAAAAATATAAATTTTAAAAAAATCTGTTGATATAATTTATTATTATGACCAACAAAAAATGAGTGAGGATGAGTCTGTTTTGATTTCCTTGTACATTTTTTTACCTGTATATTTTTAAATTGAGTTTCAAATTTGGACTCTATAGGAAATCTATTTTTTTATATAGTCTCACAGCTGTCCCATATATGTTATTGTTCTGGTTTCTATCTTAAATTTGGGTTGCTGTGCCATAACTGGCTCTGCACGTCAGCTGTACTGACCTGTAGATAGTGGTGCTTATGATGGCTGCATATAGCAAGAATGAGAGCAGAAAGCAGGAGAGGGGAGAAAGCCTGAAAGCTGAGAAAACATTCAACATTTTGATGTGTTGTTTTTCATGTAGGAGTTGATGGGGAGCTCTTTACAGTTTGGCAGACGGTCATATTTTCAATGTCTGATCTATTGGCATCAGAAAAAGTATACAAATGTACATTATTCATGCAAAAGGTCTATGCAGTTATTTTATGGTGACTTACTAAAGGTCTTGAAACCTGACTTGTATGCAGTGTTACCTAGCAACATGTTATAAAGTCACTGGGGGAGTGAGATGTATCTGTAATTTTGTATGTGTGCATATTTGGATGAAAATGTACTTTCAGTCACTAAGTTTACTACACAAGAAGAGCAATGTTAAAAGGAAAGGAATTTCTTTTCTCCTGAGGTTTATATTGTTATATACATTTAGCTCATGCTTTCCTCCATACAGTGTTCATAAATTTAGAGTAGAAGTAGAATTAATTCTCTTTTCGCAAGTTGGCTGAGTATTAGCTGCATTTTTTTTGACTGCTTGCTGTGCTGAACCAAGTTCCTTTCAGTGATTTCTTTATTACAACACTCTCTTGTCCCATCAGTTCTTCCATTATTGGCCCTACCTTTTCAATTATCTAAATCTTTTGACATCTCAAATTGTATATGCCAATTGTAACAGCCAACACAGATTTGTCAAGACAAAATTATCTCAAAACAATCTGATTTTCTTCTCTGACAGGCCTTGTGGTTAAGAAAGAAGCAGTAGATAGATAAATAGATTTTTAGAATTTTGCATTTATTCTTATTGAATATTGATGGTTTAAATTAATATTTATTTTTGCTTGCCAATATTTATTGCGCCTCCTCTTTCTGGTTGGTGTCAGTTTGAATGCCACCAGGTTTCTGTGAGACCTCAAGGCCGCTGGCTTTTCATTTCTGTGCAGTTTTAGCCTGTTGTTTTTCCAAGCATGTGACTGGGAGGTGTGCTTGTCTGCCTTCAGGCCTAAGAGTTACACTTTCCAGAAGTTTAACTGGTGCACCTAGAGTGAAAGATGGTACAAAATTGGTGTTTATTAACTATTATGAATTTTAAAAGTGAATCTTAATAAGCATGTATATAATCTTGACTCTCAGTATTATTTCTGATTGTGCGATGCAGTACCTTTCTAGTCTAGATGAAGTGGATATCAGTTGGTTAGAAAACAGTACATTGAAAGTAGCTCACAGTCAAAAGAGAAGAGTTGCAGTCAACAAGGGATCAGTAAAAAATGTGCAACTGTTCAACAGAATTGCACAAATACAAAACCAGGAACAACTAGGTAGGAACTGGCATCGTTTTGTCTGGAGAAGAGGAGGCTCAGGGGAGACCTTATTGCTCTCTACAACTACCTGAAAGGAGGTTGTAGTGAGGTGAGGTTTGGTCTCTTCTCCCAGGTAACCAGTGCCTTAAGTTGCTCCAGGAGAGGTTTAGGTTGGATATTAGGAAAAATTTATTCTCTGAAAGAGTGGTGAGACATTGAAACAGGCTGCCCAGGGAAGTGGTGGAGTCACCATCCCTGAGGGTGTTCAAGAAATGTGTAGATGTAGCACTCAGGGTTATTGTATAGTGGGCATGGTGGTGATGAGTTTACAGTTGGACTGGATGATCTTAGAGGTCTCTTCCATCCTTAATGATTCTTTGATTCTATAACAGTCCAGTGGGAAAGCAACAGGAGTTAACAATGTCATACTAGTGCTAAAAAGGCTGTCACTGTACTGGGACGTTATACAGAGAGAAACAGCCTCAAAAAAGGGGCAAACAGTCCTGCTCTTCTCAATCTTAAGCCCAAGGGTTTGACACTATAGTTTATGAAGAGTGTGGACAGTTGGAAAGACTTCAAAGGAGAGCAGCAGCAATGACTGGAGGTTTAGAAAACATGTCCAGTAAGGATGGATAAAAGGGAGTGAGGTTGTGAAGCCTATAGAGAAGACTAATGAGAGTCATTAATAAGCATTTAATGCATCAAAAAGTTTGCCATGGGAAGAAGGTATTAATGGTGATTTGGACAAAAATTAACAAATTTGTATTGCTGTACGGTTTGAGCTGGCAGTAGGAAAATCTTTCCAAAAGTTGAGGTAGTTAAACCTCTGTGACAGTTTGGCTGGAGAGATTGTGGCCTCTCTGCCACTGTTTAAAAATGGGTTAGATAACTACCTGTCAGATATGGTTGATCACATATTAGGCAGTAGGATGGTATAGATCTGCATATCTCAGTCAGTGAACCATAGAAGAAGTTGCAAGAAATTTCAGCTGAACAAAAACAAGCATCAAGCTGTAGAGAAGCAAAGTGGGCAAAAAAATTTACAGATGTTCAAAGTTAGACCTGACTTTGAGTGGGCCAGAAATGAATTGTGATGACACTGCTCAAAATGGCCTCAGTTTTTTTCAGAAAGGCGTAGCGGAGTTTTAGGTTTAAAGAGGTTGAGAAATATTTGTGTAGGTGACATTTTGAGATCCCTCCAGCCCTAATTCTGTGCCATTTTTTGCCAGAAAGATTTTTTAGTTCCATGTTTAGTTTTATGAAATAAGGGCATAAGAAAAATCATCAAATGTAAATCTAAAAATACAAACAAACCTTGACATTTTTTCCAGATTCCATTCTCTAGGTCCTAGTTTAACGTAGGAAATGCTTTTAAAGTCATAAGAAATTTAAAAGGGTTCTCTGAAATTTTATTTAGATTTGGAAAGGGTTATTGTTTGTAAAGACAATTAGCAGATGACTCTTAACATATAAACAGGAGAATATTTAAGCATGGGCATGTTTTTACCTTCAAACCTTCCCCCCTCTTGTTTCAGTAGGACTGCTTGCATGCTTGAAGTTGCATAAGTACTTTGCTGGATCAGTGCTTTGCCAGAGTATTTTCTTCCTCCAGTCTATTAATTCCACATTGAAACTTTGTAACTGCATTCATATCTTAATTTCCAGAGTATTTACTTTTCCTGTTTCAAAGGTTTCAGTGGCAGACATTATGCAACATATCTTTTTAAATACTGATGTCCTTCCACCCACTTCTAAAGCTTGTTTTCTTTTGTAATAAAAAACAGCTTTCACAGTCATCTGAATTACAATGGCCAGTGTACTCTAGCGAAGTTATTACTGTGCCTATGTTATGTGCTGCAGTTACTTTTCATAACATTGGAAAATAAATGAATCCCATCAAAATGAATGGGATTCTTGCACTATTGATCTCAGAGGAATTCTGTGTGGAAACAGTAATTGGAAGGCATACTTCATTGCTGGCCTCTCTCCCGCATCTCTCTGTCTTCACCAAGTGCATTACTCTAGAAAGCATGGCTCTTCATCTTGTGGTGGTCTATATTATCAAGTGTGCCCTCCTTCTGCAGTTCTTTTTATGCTCTCCAAGTTACTCACATGGAAAAACTTCA